TAGCCTTTGCCCTGCTTCGTTTTGAAGTCCAAGGCCAAACTTCCCTGTTGTTCCTTTTATCTCTTGACTCCCTACTATAGCATTCCAGTCTCCTATAATGAGAGGAACATCTTTCTTTGGTGTCAGTTCTAGAAGGTGTTGCAAGTCTTCATAGAATTGGTCAATTTCACCCTCTTCAGCATCAGAGGTTGGTGCATAAACTTGGATTACTGTGATGTTCAAAGGTCTGCCTTGGATTCGTATTGAAATCATTCTATCATTTTTGAGATTGTGTCCCACTACTGCTTTTCCCACTCTTTTGTTGACTATGAGGGCTACTCATTGTTTCTTTCCATGGCGTTTTCTTGCATCTAATGTTAGTCAAAAATAAATATGTGATAAGAATTTAGTTTCAAATCTAAGACAACGAGGAGACAAGTAATTAGAATTTCACTGTTGCTGCATGTCCAGAAATTTCTCTGTAATAAAGGCTTGAGTCAGGTGGTGAGCTTTGTTTATGATAAAGAAATGGCAGCAATTAATGAAGGATAAATAAAACTGAAGCAGCTAGTTAGCTTAAGCAGCAATTATATTACTTGACAAGCATCATTAGAGGGGAGAAAAGCATGCTGGACAGGGCAAAAATTGTAATATTTTATTAACATGCTTTAGATTAAAGTTAATGCTTTTTGTTAATGTAGATTTTATTAAGGTGTTTTGTACATGTCACTTACTTGTAGCCTAATAGTTATGTTTCTCTGGATCATATTCAAAGGTTAGAACATTTTAAGTTGTGTTATTCATATTCACATTTCTTGCATCCAAATCCAAAACTATACTAACTTAAAGCTCTTAGCAAAGCCTTAAAGAGACATTTCAGAATGGAAAAATGAAAACAAAAGCTTTAAAGTGACCCAGCAGTAGTATCACAAGGAAGGAGACACAGCAGTCTGGGGAAGCCTAGCAGGCTGTATTAAGAGCTCCAGAGAACTGAGACTCTCCACCCCTGGACAACATAAAGTTTAGCTGTGATCTATAAGGGATACTATGATACCAACAACTACCAACTGAGATCAGTTTGAAAAGTGTATGCAACAAGGTGCCATTAAAAGATCTCTTAGCTGAATGTCTCCTGCATGGTTTATCTCCTCCATCATAGCCCAAGGACTTGGAGAAGAATTAGGAATATGCAGGCTGCAGACCTCAGGGCCCGGCTTTCTCTCCAATGGTGTGGAAGGGGACTATATGTCACAGAGCGCAAAGGCCTACACTCCCACACGCCACATGGACAGAGCTGAGAGAGCGCAACCTCTCCAGGTATCCCCATTGGATGAATCTACACTGGGCAGCTGTCACACTTTCAAAAAACACCGTCAGTATGTTTTACAGTTTTAATGTATTTCCTTCTAAATGTCAACAGATAAACCCACTCAACAAGCAGTTCTTAAAGGCAAAAACAAATGAACAGCGCACACAACGCAAGCAGAAGAAAAAGGAATTATTTTTGTGAATACCTTTTATTCTCAGAATGTTGCTCTTGCTCGTGTCAGGAATAAATGGTCACTTCAACCAAATGTTCTGGGATCTGGACGATGCGAAAAAGAGAGCAAAAACAGAATTACAAGCTGAATTACTGAAGCACTTTTCAAATGGGAGGTCTGTGTTGGCACGCGTGCATTCACATGTGCATGGTTGGGCTACACAATGAACCCAGGCTTTTCTTTCGTAAGGCCAGGAACATAAAACTGTTCTGTTACAAAGGAATGTTCATCATCTTCCCTCTTTAAGTCGTGCTTAAATCCTTTCCAAATATCTACACCCACCCACCCACCGGCGCCTGTAAACATTAAGCAAAATAAAAGACACTTATTTACAACCAACTAAATTTATTTCTTCGTTTTTTGTTTAGCAGTAAAGAATGCAAAAAGATACATTTGAAAAGCCCTAAGATGAATATTAAAATGCTTGATCAACAGTGGAGTCATATATAAACTTTTAGTGTACGACCAGTAACAGAGCGCAAAGGCCTACACTCCCACACGCCACATGGACAGAGCTGGAAGAGCACAAACTCTCCAGGTATCCCCATTGGATGAATCTACACTGGGCAGCTGTCACACTTTCAAAAAACACCGTCAGTATATTTTACAGTTTTAATGTATGTCCTTCTAAAGGTCAACAGATAAACCCACTCAACGGGCAGTTCTTAAGGCCAACAACACATGAAAAGAGCAGACAATACGAGGGGGTGCTGATAAGTATTGAGCCTTTCCTCAGGGAAAAAAAGTGAGCTAGGAAGCTGTAACTGCCACACTATTCTACACAGGCCGCCAGGAAGTCAATGCACTTGCGATATCTGTCCTGCAGCTTCTTATGTCCCTGCAAATAAAATTCTTCCGACTGCTGGTGTATCCACTCATTTGCAGCATTAGTTGCCTCCAGAACACTCCGAAATTGTTGCCCCTTTAGGTGTTTTTTGAGTTTGGGGAACAGATAATAGTCAAATGGAGCCAGTTCAGGAGAATAGGGCATCACTTGAAAGTCTAAGGATGTCAGTTTTGTCATTGTTTCACCTGCAATGTGTGACAAGGTATTGTCATACAACAGGATGACACCTTTGGAGAGCTTTCCTCGACATTTTTCTTTGATGTTTTCCCTCAACTTTGTCAATAAAGCACAGTAATATTTTGCATTGATGGTTGGACCCTGTTGGAGGTACAGTAGTCCACCAGCAGAACTCCCTTCTTATCCTGAAAAAAGTTGCCATTTGCTTCTGCACCAACCTTTGCACTCGGAACTTCTTTGGCCTGGGGGAACCACTGTGCCTCCATTCCTTAAACTGTTCCTTTGTCTCAGGATCATAACAGTAGATCCATGTCTCATCACCAGTTACCAGTTTGCCCAGGAAATCTAACTCATTTCTTGCAAAATGTTCCAGAACAGCCACTGATTACTGCACACATTTCCTCTTTTGTTCAGTTGTCAAAAGTTTGGGGATCCACTTTGCTGCCAGCTTTCTCATTTCCAAATCATTGTGAATAATGGCACCAACTCTCTCATGTGATATTCTCAGATATATAGCAATACTTTTGGCTGATATTTGGCAGTCCTCCACGATCATGTCATGGATGGCTTTCACATTTGCAGGCATAGAGACAGAAACAGGTCTTCCATTAGGTTTCTCACTGTCAACAATGAAATGGCCAGTTTAAAAACTGACAACCCAGCATTTAACTCAGTGGTTCTTAACGTGGGCAATAATGCCCCCCAGGGGGCGATTTCATTTTTCAGGGGGGGCGGTAGAACGAAAAGGGGCAGTGTAGGGGCAAAAGAACAGAAGGGGGGTAGGGGGGCCCTGGAGCGAGCCAAACCTGTGAAGGCGACTGCAGCCGCAGTGCTGGCAGTAGATCCGGTGCTGCCGCCGCTGCCAGATGATCCAGCTCTTTCTACCTGCCACGTCTTGCCTTTCTCCTTTAGGGGAGCACTGAGTGTGGATCGGGTGGAAGGAAAGGGTCTCTTGTGATCAACAGTGGAGTCATATATAACCTTTTAGTGTACGACCAGCAATGCACACAATAAAGAATACTCTCAATGAAGTAATGTCTCCTGCATGGTTTATCTCCTCCATCACAGCCCAAAGACTTGGAGAAGAATTAGGAATATGCAGGCTGCAGACCTCAGGGCCCGGCTTTCTCTCCAATGGTGTGGAAGGGGACTATATGTCACAGAGCGCAAAGGCCTACACTCCCACACCCCACA